TCTAGACCTCGCCATTCACATATATATATATATATATATATATATATATATATATATATATATATATATTTCAGCAAAGTTACTTAGTATGATAAAGAGAGAACAATGAACTTAACCTCGCAAGTAGTGTCCATCGGTGTCTGTGACCTTGGGCCATCTCTCAGGTAACGTGCGAACGCCGGAACACGTGGTGGTGGAGAGGGAAGCCAAGTCTGGCGGATATGCCGCGTGTGGAAGAACTTCCCATCCCAACCTCAAGAGAGTCTTCTGAGCCGCGCGAACAACGTGAGGTGATCGAGGGTTGTCTAGCAGCAGCAGCAGCAGCAGCAGCAGAATGGCTTACCTGCTTCCTTGCCCAATAAGTGGTCTTTTCGGACGATTAGTTTCCAGGAGTTCGTAATGAAGTACACCCTCCGTGTCCCACGAGATGCACAGGAGAACCGTCTTCAAGTGGATGTCCTGTTTCGGCGTCTATGCACTGGGTTGCCAGGGATCTATCGACGACGCCTTCTTGCGTTTGGGATTCTCGTAAAAGCGTATAATTGTTATCACCCTCCATAATTTATTTCCACAAGAAGTCGTTTTTTGTCGTCTGTGGGCAAGCAGTGAATGGCGTGTTCATATTCTGACCTAGGTTGTGTTTGGTCAACACATGTGTGGGGCACCCAGCCCCCAAGTTTTTAAATTTGTCCCATTTGGTGGTGCAGACGCTTGGAAATAGCTGTTGGGGTGAGTCTTCATTCAGTAGAGCTTGCGATTCCGCATCTTCAAACTTTCGAGGTTGTTGTCCTGGTCGTAGCTCGTCAGTGAGATTAAAATCTCCACTTTTAAAAAGTTTGTGCCAGTGACTACACGTTACTTGACAGCAAGACCACCACAAATTGATTCCCGTGTCTTCGTACCATTTTTTAAAAAAATAATTAACTGCCGATCTACAGAGGTGTCCTGCGTGGTGGAAATACCGCGTGCTGTAGAACCTCCCATCCTAAGTTCAAGAGGGTCTTCTAAGTCTTACGAGCAACCGTGAGGTGGTTGAGTGTTCTCATGACTTGCTTGCTTCCTTGCCTAGTAAATGGCCTTTTCTGATTCATGGCCTCTTCGCTCTGTTTTGTTCAATTGTCGGCTGTAGCGTTCCACAATCACCGCCTGACGACCAGTTTCCAGGAGTTCGTAGTAAAGCACACGCTTCTAGCCCCACCACATACACAGAAGAACCCTGTTCAAGCGTGTGTCCTGTTACCGCGTCGATGTACTATTGGGTTGCCCGGGGATCTACCCACGACTTTTCTCCAATTAGTCATTTTTGTTTTACCTACGCGCAATCAATAATTGGCGTGTGTTCAAACGCTGACCTTGGAGGTTAACACATTTGGTTTTGAATTTGTCCCGTTTGTTGGTTCAAACGCTTGAAAATAGGTGTTGGGGTGACTCCTAACTAAGCTGCAAGTTCTTGATGCGTTTGCGTTGAGTCTTCAGTCAGTAGAGCTTCAAACTTTCGTGGTTGCTGTGCGGGGCCCGGGTGGTCAGCAAGATCGAAATCGTTGGCACCAATAATTACTCGTCTTTATGGGACACAAAGTCGGCGTCAAGAAAACCACAAATTGATTCCCGTCGCCCTTGGTGGAAAACGTGTAAAATGCAGTGCTGCCGAGTGTGCTGTTTATCAGTTGCCAACGTAAATTCTGCTCTTGCGAGAGGCTAACTCTCACAGGCTTGTCGTTTTAGTTTTCTAAAATCCTGCGTCCGATTCTTTCAAAACCACAAAAGACCGCGGTAATATTTCTATTTTAAGTATAATCTTGGGCTTAAATAAAACATCAGTACAAATTTACTCATACACCTAATAATTCTCGCCATTGTCGTGAAAACTCGCGAACCGTGGATTAGACCAGTTTTGAAATCGATTTTAACCAACTCAATAAATTAAAATGCACGTAGAAATCCGGCCATCGACCACATTAAGGTGCGTGAGAGTGCTCTATATGGGATTATCTTCTGGCGATCAACTCAAGGTCACGGCGCCAAGGCAGCCGCTCTGTGATTGGTCCGATTAGGCTAAACTGACATCCAATGACATAACTACAGTAGTCTGGATAGTGGACGACGACGACAACCACTGTACTTCCTTACCTTCTTTCCTTTCCAGTTGTGACCCAGGCACTGTGTCGATTGAGTACAACGACGAACGTGTTGCAGCAGCCGAGCCTCCTGCCGCAGCAGGCTCGCGAGGCGGCCTCCAGGCTAGTGAACCCGCATTTGACCGACCCAGCGGCGGCGCCCCCCGTCCCACCCCTCAAGCCCACCATCATTCCACCGTCCCCTCCGTCTGGCCACAGCCTGCCCCCTCAAGTGCTGACATTCGCCCGTCCACAGCCTTGACAGACACCCCTCCCTAGGCTTATTTTTATATCCCCTGTATAGTTTATGCCCGCCACGCCATTATGACCTTGAGGGCGTGGGGGGGCCACACATACCGCTATCGATTGTGACCTGTGATTCATGCTTCTGTCCGTTGCCGTGTGCTTGCCGACAGTGCAGGTGATGCTGAGATTGTGTACCTGCGCTGCTGTCGTTATTATTTACGTCCCTAATTTACCATTTACTTCAACAAAATACATACACACCTACTTTGTACTATCATTCAAACCTGTCCTGTGATTTGATTGGTCCAAACTGGGTTAGCGCTAAGATCAACGTTCTGAATGACGATCACGTGCTTGTTCAATCCCGACATCTGCCTTGCCTGGTCTAGCCCTCTCCAACTATGAAAAACACAAAGTATCATGTGGTAGATGGGACAACCACTGTAGGCCGTTCAAGGACGCCGAATAGCCAATGAGATTGCCCGACTGCCTTGTTTATGTAGTTCAGTTTGATTGGCTAGTTTCAAAGCAAATCCAAGCCTGTAGTTATCAGACATGGTTTCGTTCCATTTAGATTACCTGTGGAGTCATTACGGGCTGTGGTTACAAATGCAAGACACCATTACTACTACTGTTTGCCACTTGTTGCGCTCAAGAGTCACGTGATAACCAACTGTTATAAGTAGTACGCCCTCTGAATGAGGTGGTGTCATTTGAACTCGTGAAATTTCGATTTGCAATGGCGGGAACCACGCTAGATGACTTGACGACAATCTTTCAGAACGTGCTCGTGTTGATATATTTCTAACTACTGATTACGTTTTAGTAGAGTTGATTTAACGCAAAATCAAGGAGTAACAAAAAGCGTTTACTGCCTCTTTCTCTGTACAGTCGATGAAATCGCGACAATGATGCACTATGCGCGTGTGAAAGCATCCTTCAACTTGGAGAATATCTTTGAGCCGAGTTCCTCGTCCTATTAAATCAAAACGGTAATTTTTTGTTTAAATAGACTACATACCTGGAGTGAGAAAGTCACTCGCAATAGAATGTCATTTAATCCATTGGGTAATTCGGCTACATGAGTTGAAGACGCCTCGAAGTTGATAAAAATTCGTTTGTGCAGCACCAAACTGTCCTGTTCTGCGTAAATCTTGTCTTTCGGCACTAGCCTAAAAGGCAACGCAGTGAATCGATTAATCGATGCGTGAGGGAGGGAGGGATTGGGACTGGACGACTCAACGTACGCAGAACAAACGGTAGACGAACGCTTGAGCAGACTCCCGATGGAGTCAGACGTGGTGAAGGCGTGCACGGAGGTGAAGAGCATCACGTGTTCCCTCAGACCCACAGAAGCCAATGCGGTCTCTCGACTCAAGAGGATCGGGTGGGACTACCAAGCATCAGACGGTGACACAATAAAGAACTCACCTCATCCGGCTTCATAATGATGGCACCCTTGAAGACACGCTGTTGGTCTTTCATGGCGCTGATACACGACGCTTCGGCTGCAACCAACAACGCGACGCGGTTTAATTAGAACAAATGCCAAACGACAAACGACACACTCGTGCACGATGACTTACAAATGGCTGCTCTGAGGAGTTCCGCAGGTGCGTAGAGCTGGCACCGCGGTCGAGTCGGCACTACTGCGATTTCGCCGTTGGCGGGCATTGAACACTCCAACCCAGTCTCTGACTCGATGCGACCCTTGAGGAATTCCATCTTGCTCGGCTCGCCGTGCACCAGCAGGACATGGCCAGGTCGACATTGCGAGATGAGCTGCATTATACCGCGTGCATCGGCGTGGGCCGAAAACGAGAGGTACTCCACCCGCATACACACCTCAAGTGTCTGCTTGTCGAATTCCAGCCTCTTAGCTCCGTTTAGAATCTGCAGATAAGCATACAATTGTTTACTAATTTCCAGGGTGGTTTTACGGTCACACAAATAAGGAGTTCGTGTTCACCTTGTAGCCGATGGTTCCCGCGACACAGTAGCCGGGGATGATGACCATATTGTTGGGGTCTGGAGCCCATTTGCGGAAAATGTGCAACGACTGTCCGGCGTGCAACATCCCAGGCGTCGCAAATACCACCATCGGGCCGGGCTGGTCCACAACATCTGGAGTCAGAAGCTTGAAGGAAATGCAAGGCAACCGCCGCTTACTCTGATGTGCTTGAAATCAAACATGTTGCGTTCAACGAAAGTCTCCTTAATCTTTTGACTCGTCCACGAAATGAAGAGTTTGTAGTACTCAGTGGCCTTAAGTTAGAGAAGTGAGAAAATCCTCAGCCGTATTACCTTCTCGGCCATTCCGGCTGAAAAGTAAATGGGAAATGACAAACTCATCCTTTCCCAATACGTTTCTAATAGAATACATAGTTCTTGAGCTCTGCCAAGAGCAAAGACCGGGATCAAAACCTAAGACCTGAATGCGAAGAGGGATAAGAAGGGAACCTTGCCACCAGCATCAAGTCTGGAATGGACTTTCTCCAGAAATTCCCGTTCTCTTGCACGCTTCGAGTCGCGTATAGTTGTAGCATACGTTGTCTCGGTGATCAAGAGGTCAGGACGACAACGAGGAACCCAAGCAGAACCCAGATGACGGTCTGGTGTCATGTTATAATCACCCTGAAATTGTGGCGTTATTGTGTAATTTCCTTACTGTGTAGAGAAAAGAACTGTCTCCAACTTTGACGTGAAAAATCGCAGCTCCCAAAACATGACCGGCATAAAATGCCTGGATCTCGATGTCCTCGTCGACTTTTACTGCTTGATGTAGGTACACGCATTTGACTTTCTTCATACACCGGTGGATCATTTCTACTGTGAAAAAATTCTGTTCTCCACGCCTTTCAACACTTATGCGACGATAATCATCCTGATGTGCTTGACATTACATAAAAATATTACCAGTAAAATCGGGCAAATGGCCTTTGTTGGATGCGTCATATAAATTGGACCGTTATAGCCCACCATTTCGGTCATATATGGCAGAGCACCGCAGTGATCAAGGTGAAAGTGACTGCAAATATCAAATTGACTGTGACATACCTTATAATAACGCAGTTGAGGTATTCCGTCAAATCATGCTTTTGCACAATAAAAGAAAAATCAGGAAATCGTCGCTTAACGGTAAAAATGATGCAATTTGACAAACCTCGTCGTTGTAGCCCATATGCATTCCACAATCAAGCATTATATTTTTGCCCCCAATTGAAACCAATATGCAGCTACGCCCAACATCTTGGCCAGCACCTTAACACAATAATGTAATTCCTTGTCTTACCAAGAGGGATAACTCGAATACTTGTCATATTAGGTCTCGAAAACTAATAAACTACAACTGGTAAATAACAGATCCTTTAGGCACACTATCGGATTTTTTGGAAAATGCGCCTTTAAAATCCTGCCTAATTATTGGCCAGCTGTAGAAACTTGACTAAAGACAACCTTGGCGGAAATAAAATTTAGTAATTTAAAAAAACCAAGCGTGATTCCTCTTTTTCACAAACTTTTTATATCTTTTGCTAGTGGTATTTTAAGTGAATTTTAAAATATGAACCGGTTGATTAGAATTGGGCTTTGGACCTTTTACTATAACCTCAGCCAGAAGCTTGCAATTAGGAGTTCAAGTACATAGTGTCTAACAGGCCATTGGATTGTAGAATGATGGCCCATATGTTTATATGGATATGCTTGTGACTTCATTGTGCTGATTGGTGGGATTCTGCTTTAATTAACTCGCATGTTTATCTTCGCTTACAATCGCTCTACTTAAGCTTTACTTAAATTAGCTACGCTTTGAAGAAATATCGCTTTGTAGTTGTAGGTTTTTTTTACTTTGAATGGTACCTTTTGCTTTTCTCTAATGATAAAAATAGAATGATCCACATTTAGAAACATGCAATTTATTTTTGAATTACATAGAATTTATAACTTAATAATACACACTGTTTGTTTCATGATTTATCAAAAAAATTACGTTTTTGCCCCATTAATTCACTTTTAAACGTTATAACTTCGTAATTATTAGTGACCAGAATACTCTTTAATGGCATTTGGTTCTCATAGAGCAGACTTAAGTGTAGAATATCTAAATGCTGAATTGGATTTTCTTGAAATTTTTTCAAATCATTTTGAGTGCAACTTAAATGACATTTAGATTTGTGACTACTATTCACTTGACTCTGTACACACAATCACTAATCTGCAGCCACGCCACATATTTGTTCACAATAAAACTTATTGATCGTAAATCTCTGTAGTAGCAAGAAGTGGGGGCATATGAGCACCTACTTGGCCTCCTCTTTGAGAATAGCTTGCATTTGAACCTTTTGTTGAGACATTAAGGCACTCATTTTGAGGTCTTGTGTTAACTTGCTCTGTGAAACTTCTGACTCGCCATGCAATGGACTGAAACTATTGCCCTCAGGGATTCGCATCTACATGCCCAATGAGAAGTATCTCCATGATAGATGTATTGCTGTCTTCGTAATACTGTCTATTAATTTTCATTTAGCTAACTATTCATCCTGGTTAGCATTACTGTTCTTAGCGTTTATTTCGTAGAGGACTCAACGCTACAGAACAGTTGTACAGATTTTTTTGCCCATATGCGTCCACCGCTGCTTTAAATAACAAAATCATCCAAATATTATGTTCGTGTTCTGCAGTTGCCGTTTATGTTACATGCCAAAAAGATTGAAGTACGTCACATTGTTCAATTACATTAACATTGGTCACTGCTATGTTTGAGGAATACTAATCAACTCTTCTCCTAATCGGACAAACAAGTAAACGTTACTTTCTCACTGATCTTAGTGAAACGACTCCGAAAGTTCAGTAACGTTTGCGCGTTATTCTAATTTAAAAAATAATTGACTAAAAAGGAATGTGCATACATGAACCGCAGAATAGTCAAATTTTGTATACCACGGTGAGGTTTCTTGCGCTTCGTTAGCCCTTTGAGAAAATCACATGTGGCGCTTAGTGATAACTAGAATTAAAACAACTGACAAATCACAACCTTCGAGTTAAATTTTCCACGTTAATGCCCTCTGACAAAATTGCATCCAGTGACATTTCGCATCTCTTTTTCCAGAAGCATTAACGAATTACATTGGGAAATTTTCCAAATTCATCAGCAGTTTCGCTGGTGCAAACATCTTCGGTCACCTCTCAATAAATGTACAAATTTTATGCAAACCAGTCTAATTTACCTAATTTTTTTATTTAATAATCACGCGCTATTGCAACACAGCAAAACATTTTTGTTGCAGTGTTTTCTTCCTCTGTTGTTGTTGTTGTTGTTTTTAGACAGACCTCGAGTAAATTAAGTAAAACAAACCATCCAAATCGGAGAAACTAAAATCAAAACGTGTGTGCAGTTTAATAGCAACGTGGCATGCCCTATCCAAAAGCCTAGCCGATTAGTCAGTCCCCAACAGATGCCGAAACGTCTTGAAACACTAATTGCTTTGGTCAAAATTATAAACAGTGAGCATCGAAAACAAACTTCAAGGTCACGGAGGGGCGCAGTGTTTTCATTGGCTGATAAATATGAGCATTTTGTTCGGCGTCATCTTGAATCGAATTACTTGCATAAGACTGCATTTTCTGTCGTGATATCCACTCCATGAGTCTACTTGAATGCCCTCTTTGTTCAGACTTATTTGTCAGTCCAGTAATTTGACCTCGTTTGCCTGGAAATCGCCTTGAAGGCCCCCAAATTTGACCTGTTATCGTGACTCTAAGGCGGTTTCTGCTACCGACTATGGTCGGTTTTCGATAATAATGCCTGAACAGCCCACGAGGCAAACAGGTATATTTTTTACTGACACTGGGGATCTTAACTTTGCGTTGAAATTTATGCCGTCTAGACGGCCATCTCCCGAACCAATTAATCGTAATTATTTGCAACGGGTGGACGTCCTAGTCGTAAACCCACTCCTCCTCCTCCTCTCCTTCTCCTAACAGATGCGGGGACGCTGCGGACACGTCCGCTTATTCATCGACTAGTCTAAGGTGCGTCATTCACGACTCGTATGAATAATATCGTCTCTCGCGTAAACACAATTAACTCTGACAGAGGAACATCCCAATGCGTTGAAAGTCTGCGTTTCGCGTTTGCCCCGGGTAGCGTAACGTGCCTACAGAGAGGTCAGGAATTCGATGTATTCCCGAACTAGGACGGAGTGGCCGGAGGGTAGGGAGAGAGTTAGTGCGGGCAAAGGGAGAAGACGCCAGGGTTGGACAAAGAACAGACCAGACTGGCGTGCGTCGCAGCGGAAAGGTTTCGAAGTTGGCGCTCACTCAAAATAGAGCGTTCTTTGGGGAGTTCACTCTTTTGAAGACAGCAACTGGGATCAGCGCCTAGCACTATCGCAATGCTGCAAGCAAATGCAAACATACGAACTGTCTTGTAATCACTGGCGTGATGCACTTTGCAAAACAAGGTGTCAAATCTTGACTACTTTTGCCATCAGTAGTCGATCCTGTACCGTCTCATTTATGACCTAACAATTCACCTGAAATGCACCTGACTGAGAGGCCGACGGTTGTTGAACACGCCGAAGACTTCGCAGGCAACAGTGCCAAGCCCTAGAAACGACGTCGCACTTCTTAATCACTTGAGAAGCCACAGTACTACCCACCTAACAGGCTTCACCAAGCACGATAATTAAGCCAATCGTGGCTGTACAACTAGCTAATCAGGAGGCATTGGGTGACTGACAGGTGTCCAAGTGTGTCATGAATCCAGTTCAATTATTGTTGAGGTAGTTTGAAAAAAAGGAGTAGGTGATAGAACTGCAGTGCAAAACATTCAAGATGGCTACCTAGTGGGGCCTTCAATCTACACAACCCCAGACACTGGAATCGTCGCTTTCCACCATTCGGTTTGTTGCGAATCGCATTGATTCACACACGCTAATCCGATCCCTCCAGCCTCCGACACAGGGTGCCCCTTCTCGCGGGCTGTCGCTAGCCGCGCGGACCCTCAACTCCCCCCTCATTCGCACAAACCTCACACACGACACAACGTCACCAACGTGGTTGAGCTCCGAAGTGAACGATTGTGTCCGCGTCCTCTCCGGTCTTTTTCTTCACCGAGGGTATCAGGGAAGCGTAATCGGGACAGGGTTAATTCCGTGGCCCCGGCGTGGTTCAAGACCACATGCTGGGGTCCACAAAAAGTTGAACTGAATTGTTGAAAATTAAAGCGTACTTTGGTAAACCGTTATGCTGGCACGCCTGTACATGTCTTAAAACCGTCACATGCGCTTCATGACCTAGCACTGGCACTTAACGACCTTTGTAAGTTCTGGGTGGCTTTTAGGCGTCTGCATAAGAAAGGTCAATTTTAGTTTAGTTCAGTTTTCAGTCACACTTAAATTCGGAAAGGTCTATGAAAACTCTCACGGTAACCAATTTATTAAAATTACAACTACCTGTCACTTGAGATCGTCATGCATCAACATGACCCCGGAAAGTTCTTCTCTAATATGACCTAAGAACGGCCTTATTTTAACAAGTCAAAATTTAACAGCTTCAAGAAGGAATAAGTGCTGAAACTGGACAGAAAAGAAGCATTCAGGGCGTCATCAAATGCGGCTTAGGTAATCATCGCAACCCTATGTACGGGGTCTGTGCGTTCGTGTCCCCCATAAACGAAACGAACCTGCTGTGGACACCATAGGCACCAACCAATGCCAAAGACCGAATGTCACACCCAACGAGAGCGTTGTTAGGTTTTTGGTTGAGGCATTACAGAGGGGTAAAATTGTACGAAGACGTACCGCTGTCAACTCAATGTTGAAAGCCAAGCGCACTGTGTCAACTGACCCTGTGGAGACTTTGGGAGTTTAAACTGGGAAAACTCCAGCCCCCTCGTTATCTGCAAAACAATTTTGACCGGCAGAACATTTCATCTTGATGAGAAACTTGTAGAACGTTGAGAAACAATTATAAGGAACGATAGAGAGTACATTAGCGATTAAAAAATTGACAATTTTATGTCTAGACGGTTGTGAAACGTCCGTATTAACTCCGTCGTAGTATGATTCGTAGTTGTTCAATTATGTGAACTTACTGTCCAGGCGCCTAACCTAATTGCAACTCTCACGCCTCAACTAACTTGAAAAAACCGTGTACGTGACCAGACGTTGCACTATTACAGCCCAGATGTGACAAAAGGCCGGTGTACTTTAATAAAAGGTGCATTTATTGTAAGGCGTGGACACGTTAGAGCATGCGAATACAATCGTGGACGTGTGCTCCTTCAGTAGCGACGCCCAAGCCGCTTACCATTGGGTCGTCGGCTGAGCCAATGGCGGTGGAGTAACGCCACAAGGTCGTCCGTAGGCTAATTAATTGTGGTCGCAGACAGGGTAACTGTCGCGACATCGTCCGCAGACAAAACGTGACTCGTCGCGCGCGTGGCCACGGGACTGGAATGGGCCGGGTGGGAGGGGGGGAGGGAAGCATGACGAGATAAATCGAGAAACAGCCACGGCGGACACAATAGTGGTGCGTGTGTGCGCGCTGAAGCGAATCGAGTTCCCAATTCGCCCGTCCCATTCAGTGCCATCAGGTTCTCAAGGGGATCTCAGAGGTGTCGGAGGAAATCGGGAGTGTTTAATCAGCTCTTTTCAACACCTCGAAGCGTGCCTGTTTTTTTCGCAAGCCTGGACGGCTACACAGCTGTACAGGTGGTTTTTTTGTGTCATCGCTTAATCTAAACACACTTGCCTTCTGCACTGGATGGTGACTAGCGTAAACACACCTTCATGCACACACACAAACGCTTAATAGTGTAATCAATACTGACATCTTCAGGATGTAGTGCAAATGAACGTCCGTTTGACTGGCACGCAAGTAACCTTCCGCCTTGGACACGAGTTGACACGCGAAAACGCATTCATCGTTGCCATGACATCGGTAGTTGATGCACCTATTCGACAACGTGGATCAAGCTCGAGAGGAGGGATATTTGCACGGCGTAGTTTGCACGCCAGCCAATCAGTGGTTAAAATCGATATATTTTGTCAGATTTGGGAAATTTGCTTAGTGATGGTGTTGAGACTGCTAATCGTGATTAATTAAGTGAGCGTCTCATTCGACAAGGTTAGTAAGTGCTAATTTCGTGACATGTCATGATTTAATGTTGACTAAATCACCACTGAAGTGGCATAATCTCATGCATACACAGACACCTTTTGGCACTACTGTCATTAAATTTAAGTCAATATCGAGGAAACACAACCACTTGAGGTATCAACAGAAGCGTGTTGACGGCTGCGGAGACAGGTGTCATCATCCGTCAAGCCCCGCCTCCTGTTGTCATGCCAACACGCCTGGTAAATCGCATACCCAGGAGGCAGTAGAATGACCTAGACTGGACCGGCCGTGGATTCGCATGCAGCCCGGCCTTTTTACCGTCTTTCCTGCGTGTGCAGGGGGCGCGAATGACTACCCCACTGTTTTCGCCACACTTTTTCCCATTGCGTTGTTTCCTAATGGAGACGCACAAAGCGGTGTATGACTCAAATTATCGCCAAGGGGAAAGTGAGTCATTGCGTGCGCAAGGACACCCCAAGCATCCTCCCTCCCTCCCTCGCTCGCTCGCAGTGGACCGCATGGAAGGCCTTCATCATCGTCAGGAGAGCAAGGAATGATTCACGTCAGGGTGAATTTTACACTGTCAAGCGCTGATTTATGCGCATTGATGGTGTGTGGATGGGCTTAATGAATATATAGAGAGGCAACGTGCTGACGCTGTGGGCTAACGTGCACTAGTGTAGTTTCTAGTTCCGAACGCACCCAGGATAAACAATTCTGAAAAAAAAGCCTTTCATTGGCCACACTTTTGCCAAAATCTGAAAGGCCGAACTGCACACACTCAATGAACTCGCCCTCTCGTAATGCAATAACCAATCAAAATCGACAATCGATTGAAGCTACGCGCGATTTTCAGCCAGCCATCCTGTGTACTAGATGTGACCAAATCGACTCGGGATAAATGAACTTCTCCTACATTATAACTCGGAGGGGAATTAGTAGGGGGTTTACAAATCATTATGTAAGTAGTATGGCGTAGTCACGAAACGCCAAAACAATTGGGAAGCTTTCAACCAGGATTGCTAAACTAAGAAACACAATTTCACAACCTCGATTCTATCGGGTCCCAGGCACATAAACAACGGTCTAAACGTCGTCGGTTAATTCAGAGACCGCGAAATCGTGATCTAAGTATCGAATACATATTTATCCTATCCTGTTCATTGTCTTCTTTCCTATGGCGTTTGTGGATGTTGACAAAGACGGGGGCAGTGTAGAAGCTGCATCCATCACTAATCCAATTGGTGTCCTTACTGTGATTATGCAACGCCGTCCAGGGCCCTAAAGAGAGGCAACAAAACTTTGTTTCGACCGTATCCCTCCCTTGGTCACCTTTTGGCTCAAATCGGCCTTGACCCAAGCTGTCGCCCAATTGAAATCGTCTGAGACGGATGCTACTACGTAGCACTGAAACTACACTGACGTTACACACTACCCTTCCCCACAACCCCCTGCTCTAATTGACTTGAACCCCACTGTGTTCCATCCTGAAAACTCAATGAAAGACATCACCTGTAGCCGACCATTAATTCAACTCAATTCGTGCTAGGCCCAAGCCCACCCACTCTTGGTGCCTATCGAGCCTCAAGGGGCTACGCATTCATTTAATCGAAAAATAGGACTGTAGGTTAGTCCTAACACCTCACTCCCGTTCTCCAGCAACAAATTACCTACTAATTAGCAAGTATTTCTGTTAAGGATTAAATGGCAGTGCAGAAGTTGAATGTGTACAAACAGAAGTGGTATAATCTGTCGCATTGATAAAAACCAAATTACTGTCAGGTATTTACAACCATAGGCGGGATTGGATGAGCGGACAAACACAAGCAAACATGTTTGTCAAAGGGAGGAAGAGGGACAACTCTCTAGGTAAGCCGCACTGCGATTGGTCTGTTCCAGGTTCTCGTAGGTGGGGAAGCAGGAATTGCGCGTAGGGGAAACCGTGTAGGCATTATCGTTGCCTGGAGGCCTCTGACAGAGGCCCTGGCAGTCGTTGCACCGACTGCTGCCCAGTGTGTTGGCAGAATAGACGTCGCCAACATCCTCGTAAGCCGACGAGCACTCCACGAGTCTACGAAGGACTTCCGACGCTGCAGGTCGTTCTGCTGCTTGGATTCGCAGACAGTCGCAGATCACCTCCCAGACGGCATCTGGCACCGCCGGGGGTCTGTCGATTGTCGGAGGTGCCTGCTGCCAGGAGGCGTTGTTTGAGCAGGGTTCAGGAATGACGTAGTTCACGGAGCCGTTCGGGATACACCGACTGCCCGAGAGTAGACGCAGCAGCGCATCGGAGCTCTGAACATCCTCGAAGGGCTTGCGTGTTTCGAAGAAGAACATCTGCCACAGCAGAAGTCCAAACTCCCAGACATCGGAGGAGAGGTAGAAGAGTTGCTTGGAAAGTGCCTCAGGCGGGAGAATTCGAAAAGGCAGCTGTTTGGTAAAGGTGATTATGTGGTAGCAACCAGAATCCGGCGCCGCGCCGTCTGAAGAGTCCTGTGGCGAGTCGACTGTCACAGCAAGACCAAAATCGCAAATCTTTGGCTCGTACTTCGCATCCATAAGGATATTCCGGGTGGCGAGGTCACGATGAATGACATTGTTAAGAGCCAAGTACTCCAGCCCCCTGGCTATACCCGTGGCAATCTGAAGGAATATGGTGGAGGAGTTGAGAGTAAGACGTTGGTAAACTAAAGCAGTGTTTCTACGACCGCCTCGGCGTCGCCTGCGTTGTGACTTCGGCGTTGCATCAGCATCCTCGTATTCATTTCGTAGGATGCGAACCGGGGTGCCTGTTATGGACGACAGTGGGGCATTGTAGGCGTCCAATGCAAATTGGGAGACTGAACTATCGCTAGAGGGGAATGGCGTTGTGGAAATCTGACTGCTTCCAGTACTGATTTCGCCGACTGCGTTGCACACAAACATCGGTCTGTTATCGAACCATCCCCGGGGGTAGAGCATGCGCCGAATGAAGTCACTCAGACTCGTGTTGGGACAAAATTCGAGGACCAACAGACTGTCCCGAAGATCGCTTTTATCACCGATAGCACAGCCAATCATTTTGACGATGTTTGGCCCATCTGAAAGCCTCATTAAGTGCGCGATCTCGTTGCGGAAACACGTGAGACTGGCGAGTTCCGCCGAGGGAGACTTAAGAGCTACGAAGAAGGCGTCTGGATGCTTCTTTTGTCTCACCCGAGGTCCATAGTAAATGCCTTTCTGCACCGTGCCGTAGTGTCCCGTGCCCAGAGACTGAGGAAACGGACGCAAATCCCGTCTATCTAGACACCAGCGTTCTCGAAGCTCATCAGTAGGCATGAGGCTGTAGAGCAGCTCGTGGTAGAAGGGATTGAAGTCATGTCCGTTGCCAGGCAACTTATCCGTCCTGCCGTAGATTAGATTATCCATCTTGATCAACTTATCCGCCTTCACCATTTGTCGATTTTTTCGCCAAAGCACAGTCCACAAGCAAACAACAAACGCGACTAGAATCACCGATGGCACGGTTATCCAAAATATGTAGCTCTTCCAGATTTTGTTGAAGATGATACTTCCAGCCAGCTCGGTGTTAGTGCTGACGCGAATCACGTGGAGGGTGGAGACGGCGCTTCCAAGGTAGTTCACCGCTTTGCACTCGATGGTAGTGTTTTCAGCACTCGGTGTGGGTATGTACATTAAACTACAACTGTTTTCCTCTCTCTGCAAAGAGGCATTGCACCACTTCAGCACAGTGGAGTTCTCCTGGGTCTTGTTCAATCCACTCACCAGACGCCACACAATTATCGGCATCGGGCCACCAACGGCACGGCAAGTGAGTCGGACAATCTCATTGGCCGTGAAGTAGCGGATCGATTGATTGGGCTCGACAATCTTCGGAGGCAGGGTAGGCACCACATCTACCACGAGGTAAACCAGATTTTCCACCGTATCACCGCACGAGTACACACTTCCGACGGCTGTCACCGCCGTAGAATTGACCTGGAGTCGAGTTTCAAGGGCGAAGGGAAGAGCGTAGAACTGTAGGTGACCGTGTGGAAGGCTTCTGTCTCCGTCTGCGTCGGACAGCGCAATTAGCGGCCAGGTGGAGGTTGAAGACGAATTAGTCCGACTCAGACTACAACGCAACTCAAGCACTGACCCGGCGTAGACATCCACTTGGGCGACACCTTGGTTCACATTAAGCTGACCTGCTGGAAAGGCCCTGGTGATGCGGAAGCTTGGATTGGACACATTGGACACTTGCAGTGGCAAAAAATACGACGAGAAGCGACGAAGCGCGGCCTCGCTAACCGACAGACTCTCCTGCTCTGATTCGTCCTTCGCCTCCAGGGTCACACACTCCCTCGCACTTTTGCTGCTTCCGAATGCAAAGAATGTCTCACACGAGACGCACAGTCGACGGGAAAAATTGACCACCGGTGGCAGGACTAGCGTGGAAAGGTTGGAAAGAAGAGCCTCAAACGCCGGTGGGGTGGATGACGACTCCAATTCCAGCACGGGTTCCACACTAACTGAGGTGGAATTGATTAGTGGAGCAATTTCAAGCCATGCAGCCTTGGTGTAGGTCTCGTTTACCAAACTCTCCCCTCGAAACACCAGCCATCGGACTTGACTGGGCGTCGTGTTGAAGAGATCAGGCAACTGGAGAGATGCGTCGTTTTGACTAACAGGGCAGGTGACGTTGATGTAAACGTCCACGGACCCACGCAGACCTGAAATGGTGGAGCGAGGTAGGAGTGCATCGGGGGAGGGGTAGACTGTTACAGTTACTTCCAGATCTCCCTGTTTCAACGACACATTAAACTTGGCTTCTGGCAGGGCTACTTCGCACAACCATCGATCTGCTGTCCGACCTAGCGAAAATGACTCATTCGGCAGGGTGGATGAAAAACAGGCAGTGTGCTGAGTAATTTCATCCAGGGCGTAAAATGCCAGGGTTAGGCGCTTCACTGCGGTGTCTAGAACAACCAGAGTCCTGTTGTCACTCAAATTGTCCGAGAAAAGACTGTAGGCACTCGAGTTAGTCGGTTCGGCAACACTTATGTGCATTCGATTGTCCCCCGTCGAAGGCGGTGAAACGTGGAGGCGCATGAAAAAGTTCTGTGCCGGGGTCGCTCTGTATCGTTCCGCTACTTCAACCTCCACGGTCGTTGAGTGTCCGTCGGCGGTGAAGTTGTAGGCGTGGGTTGCGGCAACCGTAATCGTGTCTCCGAAAAGCTCAGATCGCAGACATGCGTAACGCGACCACGGCCAGGTCAACTGGTGATCCGAGACGTTAACTGTGTGCCGCCAACGAAAACACAGCGTGGGGTGTCGCTTTGCAATGAACATATTCGTATACACGGCCGTGCACGATACCGTCAGGTTTCGAGGTCCGAAAACTCGAAATTCGGGGGTCGCACCTCCTCGCATGTCGAATTCCTGCTCAATCGGTTGCAGAACACACGTCACATTGGGCAGCAGGGTCGGTGGAGCAGATGGAGGCTGTGGCTTGATGATGCGTCTGGAGGTTGGATATTCACATGACAGCTGCATATGGCCCCCTGGAACGCGGATCTGCTGCGTGCACAGCCCGAAACGCGGATCATATTGCCCCACATCGGTCATCGAGGTGTTGAACCACAGTTGCCTCGACTGACGGATTTTCGGCAGCTGACGGTAAACGCGCAAGTCCATGGTGGGCGACGGGGCTGGACAGGGGATGAGTACTTTGGATCGCCAGGGCAGCGGAATTGTCACTGCTCTGCGCGGAACCATGCCCGTGAATAGGAAGACCCTAATACACGGAGGAGCGTCAAGTTGCGAGGACTCGTTCCACTGGGTGTTTGAGCAGTACTCTTCCTCCGGCCAAGAACAGCACGGACAACATGCAGGTGTCTGCACACGTTGGACAGCCACATTCGGTGAGATAGCTCTTTCACGGGGGCAGCAGGCGTAAAATCCTCGTTGAAACGGCCTCTCCTTATCCGTAAGGGCAATTCGCAGGTGGTTGTTGGGGTGTAGGCTGACTCCAGTAGCACTCTGCGGCAGAAACCAGACCGTGTACCTGGATGGACAGACAAAATCCAGAGTCGTGACGTCTAGATCAACAAAGACGTCACTGTCGGCGTTGGACGACGCGGTAAGTAGGTGTTGATGCTCTTTGGCCAGAACGCCAACAATCGCCAAGCAGAATACGCAGATCTGCCAAAAGTATGCCATGTTAGATGGTCCTGAGAATTTGATAGTGTGGACAGCGAAAACTAGTGCATAGTGAGCGATGGAAAACTTGAAGCGAGAGACAGAGAGGTCCAGCGGACGATGTTACTAATGTTTATGTGCGCCTGCATCTGCCCCCCCCTCACTGCTCTCATTGGTCCCACTGCACGGATTCAGCAACCAATCACGTGCGACTCTCACCGGGTGGTACCGAAACTACTACCACAGGTGACCACCGACAATTTAAGCATCTAAAAAAAAAACAAATTTGGACAGCGTGTGTTTATCTGTGTGCTTGTTTATTATGCTCACAAAGTCATTCCGTTTCATTCAACTTCGTAAATGCATGATGAAATTTGTTGTCAATTTTGCAAAGGTTGGTGTTTGTCCTAAATTCCGTGACATTAAGACGACGGTAATTGGTGATAAGACCGCAATTTAACTGGCCGGTAATTCTGACTAAATGCTTGAATTTTAATTTTCCAATTACACTCCCAAGAATCAGGATGCTTGATTTCTTCTGGTAATTTTTTTTATCCAATAGTTAGAGATAATCGTCTTACGACGTCACATTTTTGCAGCTCGCCTTAAATACCAATAGGGCTGTCTTGAATTCAGTAAACCGATAATTTATTCCCTATTTTGACCAATCGACTTCTCAGACAACCCTTTCGCGTGGACCTCCACACCGACACCTTCTGTCTGCGGACCTTCCCGTTCTTGAATATTTAGGAATTCTGTTGGGGATACACGATTCCCCAAGATTGCTCGTCTTTGGTTTCGGGCACTATTTACACTAATTCACTAACGTGCGTTTTATCACTCCTTTTATCAGGTAAAAGTCAACCTTGACTCGAATTAGCTTCACTTTTGACAACCCAATCCGCACATTACAGCTCTTTACACGAGCTCTGGTCTTGTTCTTGTATTAGCGTTAGAAGGTCTGGTCTAGCGTCAACAACGGATCTGGTACCGTTATTTAAGTGGTTTCCTCTTTGTTACGGGCAAAGAGCAGCATCGTCGAGTTATCAGAAGATGTCATGAAGAGCATTTTGAAGGGTACATGGAGGTTAGGAACAAAGCTGAAGGTAGGAATCACGCCATTGCAGGACAGAACGATTCGAAAATCATAAGTAGACATTTCGTTCTATTCTAAATCGGCATTTCTACCGATTCTGCCCGCCCTATTCATCAAAATGGACAAATCAAGTGCGAGTTCAATCACGGGAGAATGAATTAAGCTGTCAGACGAATAAAAATGTTGATGGAGTATGCGGCCATGGGGTTCAATAGGTCAGGGGTCAACGAGGTAGCAGCATGGCTATCATTATTAATGCAAAAAACAGCGAATAAGCAGTCAGAGACGGAAGAGGATGTAGGATCAGGTGGGGATGATGTGTAAGCCAGGAAACCTCTCTAACCGAGATCAATACGCACAAATAGGGAAAGAAACCGTGTCCTAACCTCTCATTGGTCAGGTTTCGCCCTCTCACAGCCAATATAAAGGCCTGGCCATGTGGAGGGAGCTACAAACTCTGTCCCCGAGGTTGCGTGAGCCAATGGGAGCAGCTCGGCCGATTTGAATTGGTGTGAACTGCAGGTTTGAAAAGAGAATAACAACTGTAATGTGGGCGGCCACTAGACTGTTAGCTGCTAAAAAACCAGTAAAAGGGCCTGATTTGTCAGTAAATGACGATTGGACCGTTCGAGCGTGACTACACGAATGTAGCATTGGTGTTTTTGTAGCTAACACCACGAAAATGCTTCTCTGCGTCACGACTACAGTCAACTCACCACCGGTAGCAGGCGTGAATGCATTTTAAGAGTCGGTATTGCCGTGCCAAGATAACATTCTCAATGCACACTGACGTCAAACCCTGAATTTTACCACGCCGACTAAACGCGAAACTGAATACTGCATTCCAGCAAATCTGAGTGGCTGGTGGGCTTTACGCGTGTTAGCGAGTGAGTGGTGTGCGTGTTTACGAACCGACCTATGGGGTTTCAGTACTCGAATGACCTATGAAATTGAAAGATTGAGACCGACATTGCCGAGACGAACAACAGTCGACTAGCCGGGACTGCCCGTAACCACGTAAGTACACACGCCTTCTGCTTAACCCTCACATGCATGTGCTTTGAGGTATTCTTGTCACGTCATTAGAACTGGTGACCTCCAAACGGTAAAAACCAATAAATGTGCGTTTTCCTTAACCTCGTGATTCGGCCTTGCAATCCGCCTTTTTAGCTTGACTTAGTCTGTGATTTTTTGAGTCCTTAGCGTAGTTAATTAACCAGTCATAACACCAAAGAAAAAAAAGAGGTGACTGCCGATGTCAGAACGAAGTGTCCCGAGATTAGTAAGCTTAATTCACCCCACTCGTGTCGACCAATAGAATTCATGAACAACTACCCCCTGGCCAATGAGAAAAACGCTAGGGCACGTGCCTAGATTTACCATGAGAAATACTAAACGGACAATCCAGGGTATCTTAGCCACGACGAATGTGAGGCGTATCGTATGCCAATTTCACTCTTCATGCGTCTTTCCGCATGCAAGGATCAGTAGAGCGTCACTGCATTAGCGGGTGGAATGTTAATCAGCTGTGTGGTTCTTGATGAAAACACGTAACAAATTTAAGCGTACTCGAACATTGCCACAAAGGAATTCCAAATGCGATAGAACCTGCCAGTAGTCGCTGCCTCTAGGCTCTTCTAGGTGTTCAACGCAACGCTTATAATGGAAGGACTTTACCTGCACAAGTCTTGTTCAGTTTTATGACAGAACACAGTTGGTGCGGAGCCACAGATAGACCAATCTGCACCAAATACTGTATCTATACATTACCTAGCAATGTTTTACTGCTTTCTAAAAGATTCTCACACGACATACTTCAAACTGGTGTGATTAAAATCGACGTGTCAGTGGTTGAAACAGGTGTGTGTTTCAAGGTACGGCAGAAGTGGCTAGGATTGGAACGGTGTAAGCACAAGATCCACTTCACGATTTAGCTATTTTTATAGCCTTTTTCACGGTGAGATAAATGATGCGTTTCGCGAAAGAATCCCACACAACTGCAGATCTGAAGACAAACCACATTCCTCCTGGTCAAACAAAATTCTTTTTTATTGTGAAAATCCACATCTGACGATAAACCTGTTTATCGATTAGCTTGCTTTTAGAAAATGACCGCCAACATTGACAAGGAGGTCGTAAACGCGGGCTACGAAGAGGTACGCAACGACAACGAGGAGACAACCTGGTAAGTCGCGTGAAACGCTCGTTTTTTGTCTTCTTAACTAGTACTTGATTGCGCAGTGTAGGTAAATTTGCCAATCCCTATTGGTCAGTGATTGTCTTCCAGAGATTATCGATTTCTAAGACACTTTGACAATTGGTTTAGTGAATCCCAGTCTGCCGAATACCTCCTCTATTCAGTAGTAATGTTTGTCCGATGTTGGCAGCTAGTTCCCGGTAAATTGATCGTATTTGTAACATGCTGGCGTTCGATATTTCTCAAGTGGTGAGTAGACGAATCTGGACACGGAACACATCGATGTTACTTAAAACCACATTCAATTTCGCCATCCGTTACCCGTTACCGCTTCCTTTTTCATGAAATCGGGTGATATTCGTGAGAACGCACTACGTGATTGGGCGATTGTCAAGGGAATGCTTGTGACTTTGCCGCAGAAACCAATCTCATTGAGTCTTGATTGAATCCACTTCTGACAAATGTGATTGGCCATTAAAGAGATTCGTCTCAAACGCACACAATTACCGTGACTGGCGTTTGCAATTGAGTTTGCGAACGAATACTACTTCGCAAACGAATCAAGCTGATTTTGCTCAAATTGAATGGATACTGATCGATATATTGATTTATCTCTACAAGGGTAGATGACCTTGTAACCGCAATTGGCCAATCTGCTATCGGTACTTAGCCATGAGTTGTGCGTTTCAGTACAGATGATTGTTCCGATTATGATTCCATTCAACGAATAAACAATCGTTAATCCCGCTCTATTCCAATGAGTGAAATCGTTTTGTGATGGTTCGACAGACGTGATTGGTTCCGTAGACGTGCGAATTTCGGGACAAAACACAGCTAATTTGCAATGGGGTTCTTTTAATTGGATCGAATTGGCCAGCAGCACGAGATGAGGAAAAGACGAAAGATGCAGGTGAAGATCAAGCTACAACTGCAACTCACTGGTCGCTGATGGAGACTTAAGTAGTTTGTAATGTTTGGTTATCGTCCACCGAGAGAAACAATCCGTCGGTTGTGAATCTAAAAGAGAAATGGATAACGACGACTTGTGCACTTCAACTGTTGATGTTAGGAAGCGTCAGTGGAAACGACCAACTCGTTTGTTTTGCCCAAAACGGTTCCTGAATCGCGCGCGGTAATTCCGACGCCTCCATCCATTGAAATATGTCCACAAACTCCAGATGACGACTGAATTATCTGCGCTAGCTTCGTTGACCACAGCCGAAGAACAAATTTACCAGACAAAGCAGCGTGATGCAGTGTGTTTCCGTGGGACTTCCACTCCACCGTCCTTGTGGTCACCAAACCGAGACGCTCCAACCAATGCCGATCGTGCACCAAGCGACCAACAGAAATGCGTCTTTTGCGCGGCCATTTTAAGGCTTATGAGGCCACCACACCCTCATCCACGTGGACCTCTAACATCACTTGGTCGGTGTCCCAGGCACACGGTCATTTATCAAACGCATTGCATTTGGTGAATCCATTGGGACATTCGTGGTCCACCACACATGCCAATTAATCTACCCCGGCCACACCCACTTCGAACGACAGCCAATCCGTTGGTGTCTAGCATCCACATCAAAGCGCTCACTGCTTCAGCCATGGGATCGAGTAGCTACTAGACTCCTTTGGATGACCTTGAGGTGGTGGTAGCTGTCTGTGTGACTACGTAGCGACTGTAATGTGATTCCACGAATCTGTGCCGGTGAATATGTTACCAACGCAAGAGGGCAGGCTTCAGTCTGCTCAACAACATCAACAAGATGACTTCAGAGTTGGTAAAGTGTTGATTAAGTCAGCATAAGTTGAGAGTGCTTTACCAAATACCACGTGATTTTCTTTGTTAATTCACTGTCACACAATTTGGCTGTTTACTTTTAATGACATCAGAGTGAAGATCTTTTTCGCTTAGCTTAACGACTGTAAGTTGATGGAAAAAAGTGCAATCGTTTACACACACTTGTTTTCAATTGGTGCGGTGCTTCGCTCTTCAAGGTCACATTGAACGAGCACAATTTCGTGCATTTGGGATCACTTGAAGTAAAAGATGGTCCCAATTTTAAACAACCTAGTTGGAATCTAGCCGTAACTCTGTATTGGCGCGTATGTAAAGGCAAATCAATCAGAGCATGTCTACGTGTGATAAAACCCACCATCTCCTCCTATATATTGATTGGTTCCCGTAGACTCCAATTCCTCACTGAACAATCATACGTTATATCTCAAGGACGCATGAACAAAACACTTTGCCACGTGATACATACTTGTCTTCTTTTGATTACTCAGGATACACATCGGTGACGAGGGTGGGAAATTGACGGTTCTAGCGAAGGGCACAGAGTTCAGCGAAATTCTGGACCTCCTCAAGCCCGATTCCAGAGGCTTCTTCTTCGTGCGTCTCACGGTGGGCGACGAGCTGAGCAAGCGGGCTAAGTTTGGCCTGATCACGTGGATCGGCAGTGAGTGCAAGCCGATTCAGAAGGCTCGGGTCTCCTCCGAGAAAGTCCTCATCAAGGAGTGTGTTCAGGTGAGTTTAACATGTCTACTTACAATGTATAAGTAGAAATGCTAATTAGAGATCTGCGTTAATCGATTGTACTGGCTGTGCTAAACCCTAGATCTAGCTACGAGCGGTTTTACATGGTTTTGCTGATTCCATTAATTATTTGCTTGGTTAATTTCTAAGATAAATCATTACACGGAATTAATCTCTTATGTCATTACAAGATCTCACAAATTTGAACATTTATCGATTTTTGTCGGGTCTGCACCGGTATTCCCCTATGCAATTTCCCTCATCTTACGTCGACACGTGCAGATGGAACAGAGATGGGGAATACGGGTTTCAACTAGGCTTAAATTCGTCACCGCTCCAAATCAAGTTTTTGCCGATATCGATCAGTAAAGCCTGTGTTTTAAAGGGTTAAAGATTACCACATATTCCTTTCTTAAATGGTCGTCATGACCACAACTTCTTTCTCCCAAAGTCTATTTAACGCATCGGTTCTTGATGGTTACAGATCTGCTTTTGACGAAAGTTCGATCGATTGATCAGAGGTTGTCTAATTAAACCCGGATCAAGTGTCAAAATGCCAGCCGTTTCATATGAGCGGTTCGAACAATGTTTTAGTTGAAAAACTTGGTTGTATTCTGACGCCAACGGTGTGTGTGTGTGTGTGTGGGAACTTGGTGTTTGTAGGAGAGGTGGTAGAGTGGACATGGGCATCTGTCTTGTTCATTTAATCATCTCATCATCCTTCGAAAAGAATTCGACGGTGTCTGCCTACTCAGAGCTTGGAATATCGAGAGTGCGCGTTAACTGCCTGACCAGTCACTTCAAAAAGCGTGTTTGGCTCCACCGTCCTTTCACGTTACGCTGGAAAACCCGCCTTTTTAGCGGCGTTAAAACAAATCACTCCCTGCAAATAATTTCTGGCAGAGAAGACAGGTAATAGTGTGGAATAAGTGCGATGATGTAACAAGCCGTGTATTTGGTTGTCCAATTTTCCCGGTTTATCACCCCTAGAAGAGGAAGTTGGAAATTGGGGACGTATTTTTCGTAGGAGAGGTATCTGTTTCGGTGGTTTATTCACCTAATCAGATAGCCCCATCTTTGATTTAACTGATTAGTTTTGTAGATTTCATTACAGTTCTTGTTTACACAGTTGATTTACCATCTAACGTCTACAAAATCTGCTTCAGCACACTGTTATTTGTAGTCAAAAAGGAAATCACCCCGGTTCATCTTCAGGTAAAAATGACTGAAAAGGGTTAACATTAAAA